GGTTTAGGTTTTAGGGCTTAGGGTTAAGGTTTTAGGGCTTAGGGTTTAGGTTTTTTAGGGTTAAGGTTTCAGGGTTTAGGGTCTAGGACAAACCGCAGGCCTTCGTAGCACATGGGCTTGAGGCTTCGGGATGGCATGTCTAGTAGAACCAGCTCCCCGACAAGGCGACCCCAAACCCCAAAACCCCCAAACCCCTAAACTTCAAAACCCCAAAACCCCCAAACTCTAAGCCCTAAGCCCTAAGCCCTAAACCCTAAGCCCTAAGCCCTAACCCCTGAACCCCTAAACCCCTAAACCCCCAAACCCCTAAACCCCTAAACCAGAAGCCCTAAACCCCAAGCCCTAAACCCCTAAACCCCCAAACTCTAAGCCCTAAGCCCTAAACCCTAAACCCTAAGCCCTAAACCCTAAGCCCTAAACCCTAAACCCTAAACCCTCGAAAGGCGATCCGCTCCAAGCTTGTGGAGTTCATGAAGGACGTCGAGCCCCGCGGAGCAACCAGGGGCCTTAGGGGCTTAGTATATATAGGGTTTAGGGTTTAGGGTTTAGGGTTTAGGGTTTAGGGTTTAGGGTTTAGGGTTTAGGGTTTAGGGTTCCTGAAGAATTAGGATAGGCTTTGGAGGTTCCTATAAAGGGTTCCGGAAAGGGTTTAGGATTTAGGGTTCTATAAGGGCGACTATAAGGGTTTAAGGTTTAGGGTTTAGAGGTAGAATAGGGTCCCTTTGTAAACGGGCTCCTTTAAAGGGATCGATACAGGTTTCGTACAGGGGCCTTCGTAGTTAGAATAGGGTCCTTTTAAACGGGTTCCTTTAAAGGGGTCTACAACGGTTCTACTGGGGATGTATCGGGGCCTTCATAATTTTGAACAGGTTTGTTGGGTGGGTATATACTCTACTAAACTATGAGAAGGAAGGAACCCGCAAAACCCTCTTCTAATGATGAAGGCCCCTACATTAGGTATTTGAGCCAAGAGAGCCCAACATCCCTTAATTCAGGAATACTATTGGGGCCCCTATAATTTAAGGTATAATGCTTAAGGAAGGGGTCTTGGGTTCTCAGGGGGGGGTTTTGGAGCTTGAAACTCGGACTTGGCCCTAGACAGGCATGGAAAATGCCAGGCTGTGCTTAGGGTTCAGTGTGTAGGGTTTAGGGTTTAGGGTTCCGTGTTTAGGGCTTAGGGTTTAGGGTAGCGGTAAGCTTGACCATGATCCGCAAAGCTTGTTTGCGATCCTCCCAGCCCTTAAACCCTAAACCCGATACCGTCGAGCTCTCCCCCCCCACCGCCCAGGTGAATTTGGCTGGAGATCGTTTACGTGATCCAGGACAGGAAGAGTCACATTTCATGTCATCACCACTACTCTTATCACACTGGACCCCTTAACCCCCCCAAACCCCTAAACCCCTAAACCCTTAAAGCCTAAACCCCTAAACCCCTAAACCCCTAAACCCCTAAACCCTAAACCCCTAAAGCCTACCCTAAACCCCTAAACCCTTAAACCCTAAACCAATAAACCCCCTGAGCACCGCTCGAAGCTCTGAGAATCTTCAAACGAGTGGGGGCTCTCTTGGGGCTCGCGGCGTGATGCGCAAAGCAGAAAGGCCCTTGCAGCTTGCAGCCCTCGGTTTAGGGTTTAGGGTTTAGGGTGTGGGGTGTAGGGTTTAGGGTTTAGGGTTTAGGGTTTAGGGCCTGGGGTGTAGGGTTTAGGGTTTAGGGTTTAGGGTCTGGGGTGTAGGGTTCAGGGGTTTTCCTTCTTTGCAGCAACCATCTGGGCAGGACAGTTTCGTTTGAGCCACGTGTTCAATGATGGCACTGGTGCAGTTGAGCCTAGGTTTTAAAGCTCCATCCTGGCGTTGAGATTCATGGCTTTGCGTGAAGGCGGTGACAGACCGACTGCGATGCTTCAACATGCTTCCTATAAGTACATGTTGCGGCAACCGGCATAGCACCACATCGTAGGAATTCTAGGGAAGCTGATGTCTCTGAGGCAGCATGCCAGTACTGGCCGCACTGAAGCGATTATCGTCCGAGAGCATATGGGCATGGCATGCATGGCATGCATGGCCTGGGAAGGAGCGCGAGTGGGTGCAAGCGTGCTTGCTGCTGCGCATCGGCGTGGAGGGTCGTCAGCAGCTCAGAAGGCTCAGAAGATCGCAGTCATGTTGAGGTGGCTCGGGGCAGGCAGCAGTTGCCCGGTCAGTGGCTCAAGAAGTTTGAAAAGCCGCGCAAGCTTTGGCTGCTTGGCAGCCGCTCTCTGCCCAATGTCGGCAGAGCAAATTTCGCTAATGTTTGACCAGCTGCGAGATCAAGTGGTGTTGGCTTTGAAAGCCAAGGAGGAGGATGCATCAATGATGGCAGACCTCCAGCGGCAGCTGGGCACCCAAACCCAGAAAGTAAAAATCCTGCAGGCGGAGCTTGAGGAGCTCAAGCAGGTGGTGCTTGGCCTCACGCAGGTGGAGGAGGAGGAGGGAGAGCACAGCGAGGAGACAGGCACTCCGCCTCCTCCATCGGCGGACGAGTTGGAGGAGCTGACCGACTCAGACACAGACCCTCTTCCCCCTCCACCCCCGTCTCTGATCGCGAGGATCCTTCTGCAGCAAGTCTTTACCTGCGTAGCGGGCAAAAACGAAACGGCGGCGCATGTGCAGAAATCGCACGCGGACGATACCAGGATTAAGGAGGCAGATCCTGCCGTGGAGGTGGAAAGGGGTCAGCAGACCACAATGCAGTCAGGCCCTGCTGTGGAGGTGGAGGAGCCGCACACCACCCGTTGGGTGTGTGTCCGCCGGAGTGGAATGGATATCCGTTCTGGCCCTTACGTTCAGCGCACTCATGTTGCAGGCTACTTGCCTGCGCAGAAGGTCTTCGATGTCTGCGAAGAGAGACGCGGGCTTCATGGAACAGTCTTTCTCAAGCTTGCTGATGGCAGTGGCTGGGTGTTCTCGGAAACCCGCTCAGGCATTTTTTGCGAGCCTGCCGATGCCCGGCACAAGAAGATGGAGGGGGAAAAGCACGGCCACGCCTGGACCTACCAGGGCCAGGAGAGCTTCCCATGGAAAGGTTCTCATGAGAACTCTTGGAGCGGGAGCTCCGACTCCGAGAACAGATGGTGGACGGCCCAGGACACCGTGAACAACGGATCATGGAACCGATCTTGGAGTGGGAGTGCCGACTCCAAGTCAAGCGAATGGTGGATGGAGAAAGGACAGGGTGAGTGGAAGAGGAATGATCCGTGGGCAAACTGGAAGAAGAACCAGTACTGAGGACTGGCCCGAGTGGTGATGGCACGCCACTGCGCTTCGTGCATGCCAGGCGCAGACGTTTGCCAGCTAGGCAGAATTAGACATGCTCGTCGTTCAGGCCAACGTGCCACATGTGACTACAACAGATCGCACCTTGCATAGAACTTGCTTCTGAGCTGTGTTTAAAGTTTGAAAAGCGGCGTTTCGGTCCAGCCTGCTCACCTTTGCGCATCGCCGGTTAAAGCTTTGTTTGCATGTCGCACAGACTTGTTTCCAAGCAAGAAAGCACACCAACGCGCAGTCAGCGAAGCGTCCATAGATGTTCAGATGTGAGTTGGCAAGGAAGCGTCGCCGGCGCCGACGAAGTCAAAGCTGAATCCTTCTCGATGTCCCTTTCCGGCAGTGGCCTCGATGGGCTTCGCATGCCAAGTCACCCTAAACCCTAAACCCTAAACCGATGCAATTTGCTCTGTGCTTCCCAAGGTGCGGGCTCCGATGGCATCCGGGTTTCAGGACCTCGGCAGGCTGGCCTGCGGCTTGCGCCGGAGAGCGGCAGGAGAGCGCCGGCTTTTCATCTCAATTTAGGGTTTAGGGATTTGGGTTTAGGGATTAGGGATTGGGGTTTAGGGTTTAGGGTTTTGGGATTAGGGTTTAGGGTTTAGGCTCTAGTTAGGGTGTAGGGTTTAGGGGTTAGGGTTTGGTGATTAGGGCTTTGGCTTACGAGGCCACGGAGTGCCTGGCGGCTGTCTGCGGCTGCGCTTCGGATCCCTCCTGTGAGAGGCTCGGGGGGAGGGCTGAGGAGAGGCCGCTGCGCTCGTTTCCCAACTGAACCCAGCGCGCCCAATACCATCCCAATACCCTGAATTAAGGAATACGCCTTTTGCATCATAATATTAAGGCCCTATAATTAAGGTATATTCCTTTATTAAGGGGTATTGGGTTCTCTGGGAAGTTGAGCCCTAAACCATATGCCCTAAAGCCCTAAACCCTCAAGCCTACAGTAAGCCCTAAAGCCCTAAACCCCTAAACCCTCAACCCTGTACTTTGCCACTACCGGCATGCTTTAGGGGCCCGGAGAACTGGGCTCGACCCTGAACTTCGTCTGAGGTATCTCCGGCGGCGTGTTCCTGCTTCTGACGCTTGCCAAGCTGCTCCTCGAGAGTGAGTGCCGAAATGTTGAAACCTCGAAACCTACACCCGAAATCCGGAAGCAGTATCAAGCCTCTGTGTCGGGTGCCCGACAGAACCGTTTGCTTCACCCAACACTTGGGAAGGTTCTCATGAGTAGTGTAGTAAGACCTTAAACCACTTTAGCAAGACAATAGCTAGTAGTGCCTCCTTGTAGTCCCTATATAAACATATACTGGGTACAGAAATCTAGCAGAAGCTCACTCCAACCCATTTGAAACCCCCCTTTATACTCTACTGTACTGTACCCTACTATCCCACTCTATCCTAGCCTATGCTGTGCTGTCTTATCCTCTACTCTATTCTACTCTACTCTACTCTACCATACCATACTGTCCTCTGCTTTACTGTACTCTAATGTACTTTGCTATGCTGTGCTGTGCTCGACTGATTGACGATAGCTTGCCTGTCTTACTATAGGGGCCTTAATAATCAGAATAGGGTCGCTACATTACACTCCCGCAGCACCCAAAACCCCGAGTCCTATACTATGGAAGCCTAAATCGTTACCTATAGTATTTTGGGGCTCCTTATTACAATTTTTGTATTTGGGGGGCTCCTTAGTATAATTATAGTATTTTGGTGGCCAAAACCCCCAAAGCCTGAGCACCAAACCCCAAAACACTAAACCCTAACCCGCAAACCCCAAAACCCCAAAACCCTAAACCCTAAACCCTAAACCCTTTTGAACCTGAACGCAAGAGCTTTAAGATGATAGCTGGCCTCGACTCGTGACGTTCTGAGTGGCGAAAAGTGGCCATGTCTCCTAGGTCCTAGGGCTCACGTTTAGGGTTTAGGGCTTTAAGCGTTTAGGGTTTAGGGCTTTAAGGGTTTAGGGTTTAGGGGTTTAGGGCTTGAAGGGTTCAGGGTTTAGGGTCTCGCGTTCTAGATCCCTAAAGCCTAAGCCCTGAACGTGATGTGTTCTAAACCCTAAACCCTAAACCCTAAACCCTACACCCTAAACCCGAAACCCTAATCCTGAACCCTAAACCCTCTAAGCTTGCTCATCAGCCCTCGACCGTCGACCCGGTTGAGACGCCAAAGTTGAAGTTGTGGTCTTGCACGGTTCCCACAGACTCCAATATTCCTTAGGGGTTTAGGGTTTAGGGTTTAGGGTTTAGGGTTTAGCAGAGAACCCAATACCCCTTAATTAAGGAATATACCTTAAATCATAATATGAAGGCTCCTATAATGTAGGGTATATTCCTTAATTAAGGGGTATTGGGCTCTCTGGGTTCTAGGGTTAAGAAGCTAGAGGTTGATGTGGTTTTACGGCTGGGTAAGTAAGGCAACTTCAACTTGCTTGGGTTTGCATATTCCTGCCATAGCAACATGTTTTCCTAATTGTTTGTGCCGTGTGCGGCAAAATCTGCGCCGCCTAGAGTACTACAGTGAAGCCCTAAGCCCTCAACGGAAAGCTGCAAGCCCTAAACCCTGAGCCCCAAAC